TTTCTTCCAAAAAAAAGAAAAAACTTCATTTATAATAGGAGAAAGATTTTTGGGGGTTACCGACATGTTTACCATCACTACTACGATAACAAATACTACCTCCGTCCCGCTATGATTATCCCGTTTTACCTAATCGATCCGTCCCACTAAGATTGTCCCATACCAAATTCGGCAAAGTTTGTGTGGTTCTAAATCATTCTTACTTTATTAATTCAATATCAACCACATAAATCACTTTTTATTGATGTGCGTGTCACTCCCTCTTGTCCCATTGTTAGCGGGACGGAGGGAGTAAAAAACAACCTCCTTTCAAATTATTACTCCGTACAATACTCATGTAGTCCTAACTCCTATGCAATCATTTTTATAAAAAGTTAGCAAGTATTGTTAAATACGGAGTGTGCAATATCAGATTAGTTGTCATCTATATACTCCCAGGAAATGTTGATTTTACAACATTTTGTCAACCAATGTTACAAATAAATTCAATTTTAATCATCAAAATTTACATATGCATAAACTACATTAAAATCTCTATATAATTATAAAATCCAAATTAAAGCATAATTAAAATTGATATTCTAATTAAGTGAATAAAATGAAATCGTTTGAGAAACAAGTTGATTTTGTAACTCAATTTGAAACGGATGTATTATCTTTCATCGTGAACCGAGTCCCAAATAGGATTTTGACCTATTGTCAACATTGTATAAATTTAGAGGTCATATAATTAAGCATACTAGACTACTTGTGTGAATTATCCCAAATATGAATAGTGATTTCGTGATACTTTATGGTCCAAATCAGAGAACAACAACAACAACATCCAAGCCTTAATCCCAAAAGAATTTGGGCTCGACTAACATGAATGGATCTATGATATCGATGCCAAAAAGAGAAGGCAGACAAGAAAAGGAAAAAAATAAGATAAAATGAATAAAATAAAGATACATAAATATAAGATAACAATAACACAAGAATATAACCAAGATAAAAGAAAAATAAATAAAAGAGCATAAAAAAGCTAGAAGATAAAAATAACATAAGAATATAAAAAGATAAGGAAGATAAACGATAAAAGAAACAAGAGAGGAAAGGTAGACAAGACATCAATCGTTCACATGGATGTGCGCCCTCCACTTTGCTCTCTCCAAAGTCATACTCTCATCCAACCCAAAAAGACGCATATCAGTTCTGATTACTCTAATCCAAGTCTGTTTGGGTCTTCCCCTCCCTCTCTTCTCTGACTCCTCTCCCCACCCCTCAAGTCGTCTAACAGGTGCATCGTTCGGTCTTCTATGCACATGCCCAAACCACCGCAAATGAGACTCCTGCATCTTATCTTCTATAGGTGCTACTCCCACCTTTTGTGTGATTACCTCATTCCTCAAGCGGTCTTTTCTGGTATGTCCACACATCCAACGCAACATACGCATCTCTGTCACACTCATCTTTTGAATGTGGCATTGCTTCACCGCTCAACACTCTACGCCATACATTAATGCCGGCCTAATTGCTGTACGATAAAATTTACCTTTCAGTTTAGTCGGCATACCTCGATCGCATAGAAATCCTGAAGCACTTTTCCATTTCATCCACTCAGCTCTGATTCTATGACATACATCTCCATCTAATTCACCATCCTTTTGAATTATGGATCCCAAGTAACGGAACATATCACACACCGGTATCTTCTTACCATCAAGAGTAATCCCACTGTTGCTACTGCTTCTACATCCACCGAACTTGTACTCCATATACTCAGTCTTGCTTTGGCTCAGTTTGAAACCATTGCTCTCTAATGTTTGTCGCCATACCTCCAACTTTGCTTTAACATCGGATTGTGTCTTATCAATCAATACAATATCGTCGGCAAACATCATGCACCACGGTATATCTTCTTGAATTGACTTCGTAAGTTCATCCATGACTAAAGCAAATAAGAAAGAACTCAGAGCAGATCCTTGGTGCACTCCAATAGTAATAGGGAACTCTGCGGTCCTCCCTACACTAGTGCGGACACTAGTAGTACAAGCATCATACATATCCATGATGATGCTGATATACTTACATGATATGCCTTTTCTAATTAAGGCCCACCAAAGAACTTCTCGAGGTACCCTATCATATGCCTTTTCTAAGTCAATGAACACCAAATGCAGATCCTTTTTAGTGTCTCTATAGTTCTCCACAACTTGTCTAAGAAGGTGAATGGCCTCAGTTGTTGAGCGTCCAGGCATAAAACCAAATTGATTCTCCGAAATTTTCACACTTTTACGTAGTCTTTGCTCAACCACTCGTTCCCAAAGTTTCATGGTGTGACTCATAAGCTTAATCACTCGATAGTTAGCACATTCTTGTACATCACCCTTATTTTTAAATAAGGGAATGAGAGTACTCTTCCGCCAACTCACTGGCATTTTGTTGTTTCTCCAAATCATGTTGAAGAAACGTGTTAGCCACTCGATGCCTTTCTCTCCCAAACTTCTCCAAGCCTCGATCGGTATGCCATCTAGGCCCACTGCTTTCTTCCGGCCCATTTTTCTCATAGCCTCTTTAACTTCTGTTGTTTGAATCCTTCTCACGAAGTCCCTATTTACCATACACTCTTGTATAGTAAGATCATCAATACCTTGGACTTTATTCCCGTTGAACAAGGCATCAAAGTATGACCTCCACCTCTCTTTTATTTATTCGTCGTCCATTAGTACCCTTTGATCGACATCCTTCACACACTTAACTTTTCCGATATCTCGAGTCCTACGGTCACGAAGGCGAGCAAGTCTGTAGATATCTTTTTCTCCTTCCTTAGAATCCAACTTTACAGACAATTCCTTATTCACTTTTCCTTTGGCTTCCTTCACAACTTTCTTTGCTCTTCTTCCAGCCTCTTTGTACTCCTCTATGTTCTCGTCGCTCCAACTTTTGCCCAATTTCTTATAGCATTCTCTTTTGGCCCTTATTGCTTGTTTCACCTCATCATTCCACCAAGATGTGTCATTTTTTTGTGGCAGACATCCTTTAGATTCTTCGAGTATCTCCTTCGCCACTTTGTTAATGATGGACTCCATTGATAACCACACATCATCCACGTGTGCGTCATTATCAATAGACCAAACATCTTCCTCCAACATTTTGTGTGCAAAACTTTGTTAGAGATTCCCCTCGAGCCTCCACCATTTTATCTTTGGCTCCCCTTGTACCTTAACTCGTCCCCTCTTTTTACCTCGAAAATCAAGCACAAGCATCCTATGCTGAGTGACAGCACTCTCACCTGGGATAACCTTACAATCAGTGTAGCTAGTTCTCCAAGTCGTCTGTACTAAAAAGTAGTCAATTTGGGTACTATTAGCTCCACTTCTATAGGTGACAATGGGAGAGTCTCTTTTCTTGAACCAAGTGTTCATCACAGCCAACTCATATGTCGAGGCAAAATCCAGAATGTTCTTCCCCGCTTCATTTCTAGTGCCAAAACCATGTCCGCCATGGACACTCTCAAAACCATCATGACTTGGGCCCACATGCCCGTTGAGGTCGCCTCCTATGACAAGTTTCTATCCCCTTGGCACTCGCCGCACCACTTCCTCAAGATCCTGCCAAAATTGTTGAGTGATAGATGCATCCAATCCCACTTGTGGTGCATAGGCACTAACCACAGACACGATCTCATCCCCTATTATCAACTTAATGCTCATGATGCGATCGTTCTTCCTAAACACTTCAACCACACCGTCAACATAATCATGTGCCACCATAATGCCTACTCCATTTCTGTTCCTCTCTCTCCCCGAGCACCAAAGCTTAAAACCTCCGGGATTAATCTCACGTGCCTTTTCTCCAACCCACTTAGTTTCTTGCATGCACATTATGCTGATATTCCTCCTCTTCATAACCTCGGCTATCTCAGAAGATCTTCCCGTAAGAGAGCCAACATTCCATGTCCCAAAGCGCAATCTAACACCCTGCCTTCTCTTCTTCACCCCATATCGACCCCCACCATGCCCTTGCATATTTGACACCATCCCCGGGCATTGGAGTGACACATCGCTTCCGGGCGATGACCTAACAACCTTAGCATTCTTATCACCACACCCAGGCCTATGAAGTGTAGCGCGCCCTTGCTCATTCAAATCAGAGAAGAGTTCTTCAATTTATACTTCCTCCCTCCTATTATTGTCTCATTCTACCTTTTCGGTCTGTCTCATTAAGATTGCATCATACTAAATTTGGTAAAATTTGTGTGATACTAAATTATTCTTACTTTATCAATTCAATATCAACCACATATATCCCTCTTTATTGCTTTGCATGTCACTCCTTTCATTGTTAGTGGGATAGCAGAAGCAACTTATAAAAATCTTGCTCTCTCTTATCTCCAAATCATTATAACGATGACCATACACACATTCACACACATATGTTCTATCTCTATATTGTCTATCTAATTCTTTAGTACATTGAAATTTGTTAAAAACTAGTATTTCAAGCATTTACTTTTTCTAAGATTACTATTGTATTATGATTATTATATTGTAAATAATATTTTTTTCCTATTACAATTTTAATCCGATTTAAAATTATACAACTTTTGTTTAATTAGTTACAACATCGATGAACTTTTACGTTATTTTCACATACTCTACTTTGACTACATTTTATTTATTAATGTATTATAAATTCAATTTTTGAAAAATATTGCTAAATTTTTCTCATTTTAAATTTCAAGTAGTAAGAATTAAAATGTATTTATTAATGATCAAATTAATGATTAAAATATTTTTCCTCCAGTTCACAATCATCTTTACACTTTTCTTTTTTGTCAGTAACACAATAAACTTTACACTTCCTTATTTACCTTACAAATCTACACCAAACAGCGCCAAACAGTGTAAAGTACAATTAAATCAAATTTATTTCTTTAATATCGGTGAAGTCAAACTCGGAGGTTGTACACATTTTGATCAAATCTGGAGGAAGATACCTCTGGTCCTATCACTGTTCCAAATTGCATACCAGTATGGTTTTAACAATATGAATGAATTTTAAATACGAAGTAGAATGGATCATATCAATGAATTTCATACGTTTCTACAGTTTTACGGTTTGAATATAACGAAAACATATACGTGGAGAGCTTAACATCATTTGATTCAAGTAGGTGTGTAGGTCAATGCAGTGCTTTTGTTCCAATGTACACCTGGATGTATTCTGTATTTCACATTCGTGATTTCGCGCTTCTGATCTCGCCGGGGCCGGTAATCATAAGTACAGTTCACGATATCGGTAGTCGTTGATCGTTAGAGATGCCGTTGCAGGTCAAGGACTTGGCGAGGGTGGTGAATGGGTTGTCTCTCGTGGCCAAAGAGTCTCTCCGGCGCCGACTGCTCCTTACAGACGGAGTTGATTTGCAAAGCCTAATCAAGACAACTCTTCTGTCCGCCACCGATCTAACCGGCCTCACCAAAGGCAGGTTTCGGCGTCTCGAAGATGATGCTACCGCTGCCCACGCTACTTCAGATATCGTTGATCCTAACACGAATGCTAAACTCAATGCAACCAAAGATAGTGTTGTGTACTTCGTCGATAGTGCACCCCAACCAGATCATAAGCGTTCTCCTGATTCTAATGATGTCGCGGATACTCTTCATTCTGAGGTTCTCCCTGCGCCTGTTTGTGATATTGCTGCTTCGAATGAAGGGGGGTCTCCGCCTTTGGAAACACCGGACTCGTCCATTGAAGTTGATCCTCATCCTTCTCTCCAGATGGACGAGCCATCTACACAACGAGATTTCCCAGCTGGTGGAGCCCCGACCTCCCAAACGGTGATCAAGAGGCAGCTAAGGAAACCTAGGGAAAGAAGGGTGCCTACTACTCCTTTTTCTAGGGCGCTTGGGTGAGACTCCCTGATTCTACATGATCATCATTACCAAGTAAACGGAGCAACTTTCATTTCGGATAATATCCTCCCAAATAGGATCCGTTGGAGTCTAATGTGTTTTTACCGCAAGTGGTACCAAAATATGAATAAGGAAAGAACACAACAAGAAAACAAAGTGAAATCCTGCCAAGGAACATTTTTGTAGTTACCAGAATTTGGGTAGCTCCTTAGTGGGCATAAGACATTGAGTCTTATTATTGGTTATTTGATTCATTTTGCCATTTCATTTGAAGATTTGCAGGTCTTGGGGCTGGACTTGCGTGGGGCACTCTTCAGGAATCCACAAAGAGACTAATCTTTGGCTCCCCAACTTCAAAGGATAATCAAAATGCTATTTCTCCTTACCTATCTGAGAGAAATGCAGAACGTTTGGCTCTTGCATTGTGCAGAATGCGTGGTGCAGCTCTTAAATTGGGACAGATGTTGAGTATTCAAGATGAATCTATTGTGCCTGCTCCGGTACGAGTTCCTATATGTGTTACTGTAGCTCCATATTTACATTCATATTTATTGTAGTTTATGTATGAGACTTTTTGTACAGCTGGGCTAGTAGGGCTACAAGTAAGGGGGGTCTATTATATTCATAAGCTATTCTATCAATTTTTTCCTTCCATGCAGTACTCATTTATGTGCCAAGCAAACCTAATGATCATGTGGCAGTTGTTGTCTTGTTGAGTGTACTTGATTAAAATGGTTACTTTCATTTTGTTTATAAAAGAGAGGGCTACTCTTAGCAACGTTTCGGGAGTCTTATACGACTTTCTTATACAGTCATATACTCATACAACCTCACTTGGCCTCATCTTCACCATTTACTTTCATAGTAGGGTTGTCCCACTATGAAAGTGAATATTGACGATGCCGAGTGAGCCACATGATAGACACGGGTAAATCCAACTCACAATTACAGTAGAATCAATGAGAAGATAACAAGAAGCAAGATCAATATGAAGTTTATTGATGAAGAAGAAAAGTATGGAACATATAAAAGCAGAGGACGATTCGAGATGCCCAGTCTCCAAGCCTAGCCAAATTCAACTGAATATTTGCCTGCCTTCTCCTTTCCCCCCTCCCTTACTATTTATAGTACTTCTATTTATAATACAAGCCCATTTATTATCATCTACAATAATAGGTCCACTTATTATTATATCTAATAATAGGCCCATTCCTATCAATACTCCCCCCTAAACAACCACCTTGCCCTCAAGGTGGGTGATAGGAATCAGCCATGATCTTCCACTTCCACTTCATTCTGGCACCTCTCTCTTCCCAGTACAACATTGCATTCTGGATCTTTCCCTTCAACACTTGAGCCATCCTCTTTACCTCCTCCATCGCATGAATGAGCAGAAGCAATGACACTGTTGGGTCATGCTTCCCCGCTTTGTCACTCCATCCAAGTGATTCCTGAATATATCTGTTGTCATTACTTTGGAGGGTTGTTCCTTCAGGCTGCTCCAACACTTCTAGAGTCTCAGAGTTGGTAAAAAAATCTGCCCTGAAAGTAGTTCGTAGTGTCTCAAAAAACCTATTCATAGTGTGGTTGATGAGTGATGACAATAAGTGCTTAATGTGTGGCCAATCGACTCCTGAGTCTGTATCAGTTAAAAACTGTGACATTGCTTGACAAACATTTATTTTTACAGGAGGAGACACATCCTTGCCAATTACCTTAACTGCTGCATACACAAATTGCTCATCAACCCTTGTGGCAATGTCTTCTACCCGAATTTTCTCCCAAATATTTCCTACAGCAGCACCACCATTTCCAAAAACCTTTGTTACAAATATCTTCTCTGATACTGGAGCTAAGGTGAAAAAAGTAGTGTCTGGTATTTTCCACCCAACTGGGGATCCCACAAACTTCTCCTGCCATGATTCAATAAACCTTTTTTCTTCCACTTTAGCAAAGAATGTGTTGGTATCCCTCAACCAGATCCTGGTGTGGGCCTGCTGCTTTCTTATCTGCAGAAAATCAATGACACCATACACCAACTCCTCCAGACTCGGCCTCATTACATTTTCACACTTGTTGCTATCCAAAATTGTCAACAAGAGCTTAGATAGATTGCCTGAAGGTATTTTCTGTTTCCAGCTACGAAAAGGAGTACCTAAGTGAAAGGAATTCCTGGATGAATAATCCACTAGAATCCAAGGCAGCAAATCAAACATGTCAACAATCATATGGATATGATGGTCAAGCACAACCACATGCTTTCCCATCCCTTGTGTCAATATTAGCAGTCTAACCCCAGCAGCTTCCTTTATTCGTACCCCTTGCTCAATCACCCCATGACTTTGCGTTGAAACATCCAGGCAGTCTCCATTAGAACGCATAAGGCCTTCCATGTTGTTCCCTCCCACTGCTTTCAGCACACCATCTGTGCTCCCCATAGTTAAGAACTCTAATTCATCTTCTGTGAAAAGATAGTGGTGCAGTACTTTTTCAGCATCACTATTGTTAACTACTTTCATAAGTTCAGAATTATAACCTTGAACATAGCTCAAACTATCAAACCCTGCAGAGGAATTATTTTGGTTTTGCATTTCAATTTTGTCCTTTTTCTCGGACTTTAATTCGTCCTTTTCTATTTCCTCAGTTTCGTCTATACATACGGTCCCTGTAGAGCTTTCCCAAATATTTGAACCAACCATTTTATCAACGGCAGATTCATATTCCATGGAAATGGACTGAATCACCACAGAAGTTTTCTTCCTTCGTTCCTGATAGAGTATATGTCTAGAGAGAAGTGAGAGCTAAAGAGAGAAGTGCAAGTAAATGCTTCAATAGAATGATTTTGTAACCCCTATAACTACCTCCAGAAAAAGTATTTATAGGAAAAATACGGGCAGGGCTCCCAAGCCTTGGGCTTGGGAGGCCCATTTACAACTGGACCGCTATTGGGCTGAATACAAAGTAAATGATGGGATACATAAATGAATAAGTGTAAAATCTAGTTCTGCGAGTCCTCCGTGGCCGACGAGGGTCTGGCCGACAAGGACACGGCCGATGAGGGCACGGCCGATGAGGACATCCTGGTTCCTGGCTTCAGGATCATATTCTGAGTCGGTCCCTCTTCGGCCGACGAGGGTCCTTTGGCCGACGAGGGCACTGCGCAGTGGCTTGTGCTTTCTGTTCTTCTGAGTATGTGGGTCCTGGGGCCTAGACCCATATACTCCATCAGTTCCTCATCACCACTGATGAGTGTATCTTCAGAGTTAGGTTGTAGCTGACTCACAGACTGCTGCGGAAATGAAACTGATTCCAATTGCGGACTGTGAGAAGCGGAAATATGCGAAGAAACCTGTGGTGAGTCCGTTAGCGATGGCGAAGTTGAAATAGTGACTCGCGACGTATTCATGCTGCGACTAGCTATTGGCGACGATGATGAAGTTCGCGATTGAGAAGAAGAAAATCGCGATTGTGAACTATGAGATGAGTTTGTAGACACTGTACTCGTCTGCGACTGCGAATACTTCTGCGGACTACTGTGAGGAACGACTTGCGATGATGAACCGTGAGAAACAGTTCGCCACAAAGAGTGCGAACTAGAGGGGTTTGTTGGCAACCATGATTGTCTTCTAGTTTGGATGTGTTCGTTCATCGCTACGATGAAAGCGTTGATGTTCTTCATCGCCGACCTTAACTCCATCTGCCACTCCGTACGCATTTCCAGAAGGTTGCGTTCCAGCGAATCAACTCGTTTCTCCATTTTAGCTCTAGTTCTGACCATTCACCGCTTGCGACGAAAATTTCTGGAATCTGCGTACTTTTCCGATCAACGCTACTGTCACCAGAAACGTAATGCTCTGATACCAATGATAGACACGGGTAAATCCAACTCACAATTACAGTAGAATCAATGAGAAGATAACAAGAAGCAAGATCAATATGAAGTTTATTGATGAAGAAGAAAAGTATGGAACGTATAAAAGCAGAGGACGATTCGAGATGCCCAGTCTCCAAGCCTAGCCAAATTCAACTGAATATTTGCCTGCCTTCTCCTTTCCCCCCTCCCTTACTATTTATACTTCTATTTATAATACAAGCCCATTTATTATTATCTACAATAATAGGCCCACTTATTATTATATCTAATAATAGGCCCATTCCTATCACCACATGACTCATCCACAAAGGGAAAATTATACCGTACACCCGGTTGTACGGTGCTCACCGTACAACCAAGTATTTTATGTTAAAAGAAATGAGCATAACATTTAAAAGAAATGAGTATTGGTATTGAATTACAAAATTAGCACAATAAATATTTTGATGATAATACAATAATAATATAGTAAAATGAATAAGTTGATTTGTAGCATATGTATCACATGTAGATCATGATTCTCAATTACATTTTTCGAATACTAAATTGTGCTATCAATACATTGATTTAATACCAATACTCATTTCTTTTAACATAAAATACCTGGTTGTACGGTGAGCACCGTACAACCGGCTGTATGGTATACGTTCTCTCCATAAAGGAGCCATATAGGGCCCCATAAAATTTTCCTTATTTCTAAGCTCAAGTGTCAGTTATGAAACTGTTAGGCACTGTAGCACTTGCACAAGAATAAAAAAGTAGCATGAAGAAGATGAAGATTTCATTGAAGTCATATGGGAAATGAGGTGGCTAAGACATGGACACTGGAGACCAGGTCAACTGCAAAATTATGAAGTATGAGCTGATTTTAGCTCCACTCCAAGCATTAAAGTTTTTCTCAACCTGTGAGAAAATGGCAATGAGTGCTATATTCTAGTATGACTTGAGGGAAACACTTGTTTAATTTATTCTGAGTGAAAGACCCCTTATTCAAGTTTTTTTTTCGCCTTTCCGAGAAGGAATGTCAGGTGATGTATTTTTTTATAAACTAGAAACTAATAAAGAACTGATTTAATTATGTAGATTTATATTGATTGGTAGCAGGTATCTACACTTTCCTATTCACTTCAAAATCATCATTTACTGGCTGTGTTCCTTTTGTTGTAACATCTCTCTCTTGCTAGATTTCATCTTATTGCTTCATAGCTTCGTGCTGTTAATGCCGTTGTGATATTATTATCATTATGATGATGAGATTTTTTGCTTGATTGTAGATCTTGGCTGCTCTGGACATTGTTCGTCAGGGTGCAGATGTGATGCCTAGGAGCCAACTCAATAAAGTTCTTGACACTGAATTAGGCCCTGATTGGTCAACTAAGCTAAAGAGTTTTGATTATGAACCAATAGCAGCAGCAAGTATTGGACAGGTGGCTTGGTCTATCTCATGAAATCCTTTGAAACTACACACACATGCGTGCATGCACACATTTTCTATTTGCTTACTTCAATCCACTGCATTATTGTCTTCATTATCATTGCTCCAGTGCCGCAAAGGCTCCTACCTACGGTAGGGTAAGGGGGGTCGCATGTACGCAGTCTTACCCCTGTACTAATACACGGAGAAACTGTTTTCGGATGACCCAAAGTGAAAATCGCGTTCAAAACTGCATGGACTGACTGCTGCTTCATAACAAAGAAGCGCAGTCAGTTTTAGTGAGTCATTTTGCTTTATTCCATCATATTCTCAAGCCAAAAAATATTGAGTCTTTGGCTCCATTGCAAATGATGGAAATAATCCATTGTATTATTGTATAAAAACTTATTGTTTCTAAAATACACACAAGAGATCAAGGTACTGCTCAAAGAGGAGTGAAGTTTTTGACCTACCACTTTGCTCCATTTTGTCCTTAAATAAAAACTTAATTTGACCAGGCACGGTGACTAAAAATGTGTGATTCGTAAAAGATTATTTAGAAGAGAGAAATAATATGAGCCACATATTGGTTTTCTTTAAAGAAAATGTGTGAAGATTTTAGGATAGACTCATAGACATAAAAGAAAGGAAGTTTGAAGATTAGTTAGGGACAAGAGTAACTATTTCTAATTTACTACCAATATCCCTTTTATCTTCTAACTTTCATTTTTTGTCCTTCCGAAAATTATTTCACTTTATATGTTAGGAAAGAATCTTGCGGTTAACATTCTATCTTTCTCCTCTGACATCTAAACGAGTTGTTACCACACATTTTTTATTTTCTTAAAATTCATGCCAAAGTAGGGGGGGGGGGGGTCTTAAGAAATAAGGACGGAAGGAGTACACTTTTTCCAAAATACTTCACTGGATACCTTATTGCATGTCCTGCTTTTCTATCATAGCATTGTAGATAGAACCAGTTTTAGGAAGATCGATGCCCATAAGCCACAAATTTTGTGTTTCCTTATTGGTAAATGGTTTAATGAGTACGGTTAGCAATTATATTGTGAACTTTTATGCTACACCGGGAGGTGGTCATGGTGGGGTTTAAACTCTGTGATATATGAGTTCATGAGAACAATAAATTTCCAATTTCAAGCTATCTCCATCTAGTAGGGGCTGCTAAGTTTGCTAAATGGACAAATGCCTTGACTCTCTGAAGGGTATCTCCAATGCAAATTAGCTATTCCGCGTATTTTGTCAAATTTAACTAGTAGAATAGCTAGTAATCAACTCCAATGCTATGATGTAGCTAGTTATTTATTTTAGAGAATTCCTCCTATTAGCCGAGTCTGCTGAGTCTTCAAGGCTAGCTATCATTTTTTTTCATTATCCCCTTCTCTTCTTTACACATCCAACTATAGGGTTGTATAAAATTTCAAAAAAAAGTTGTAACTCTTCCTTTTCTTTTTGATTCCGATATCATGTACAGATTTATGTTAGCTGACCCCAAAATCTTTTGGGACTAAGGCTTGGATAGTTGGATGTTGCTGTTGTTGTCAGTAACTAGTGTGTCATCCCACTATGGGCACTTCAAGTGCAGTAATGTTTAGTTATTCTATCATTGACAATATTTTAATGAGTCATTTAGCTAGTGATGGTAGGAGCTGCTATATGTGATTACATCGTATAAATTTGCCATTTGGAAAGTGCCATTGAGTGAGTTGCATTTTTTCAAAAACTTGCTCTTATACTAAATTAACATGGCAAGGCAAAAGAGGAAAGTATTTGCAATCTGAAACAAATTATCATCGAGACCGTAAAAGAACATTGAGTAACAGTTTAAATCTTAGAGTCAAGCTCTGTACTTTCTGGTCATTTTTAGAAATGTATTTCGTCCAACTTGTGATTATTGATGAAACACATGTACCACCCTTGTTACTCTAAGCCTTCTAATTCTAAAACAACATAGAAAATTCTGCCTACGCTTGAGATATTGAAGACCGTAATGTTATCTTCTTTCATTTAAACTAATATCAGGTACATAGGGCTGTGACAAAGGATGATATGGAGGTTGCAGTGAAAATACAATACCCTGGTGTTGCTGACAGCATCGAAAGTGATATTGAAAATGTCAAAATTCTCTTGAGTTATACTAATCTTATCCCAGAGAAATTGTACATTGACAATGCTATGAAGGTAACTGGCATTTTCTAATTAATGGAAGCTATTTTGTTCTGACACTTCTTTTGGAATTCCTAGAATCCTCTCGGAAAAAATAACATTTTGTGTCCTTGAACCCAAGCTAGGTAGCAAAGGAGGAACTCTCTCGTGAATGTGACTATGTTCTGGAAGCAAAAAATCAGAAAATTTTCCGTGATCTTTTGCATGGAGAAACTGGCTTTTACGTTCCGATTGTGGTAGATGAGTTGTCCGGTAAAAGAGTATTAACTTCGGAGCTTGTCCCTGGTAATTGCATGTTGATTAAGGTTCTTGTTTTATAGTTAATAATGAGATTCCAGACATTGAGATACTACTAGAACCTCACTGGAATTCCATGGTCTTACATTATGTATCATATTCACTTTTTTCTGGGGGGTCATATGCCTGAGGCGGTTTCATTTCGGTTTCATTTACCTAATGATGCAGGAATTCCAATTGATAAGGTATCATTACTTGACCAAGAGACTCGCAACCATGTTGGAACAAAGTTGCTTGAACTCACTCTGAAAGAGTTGTTTATATTTCGATTCATGCAGGCAAGTTTTTCTTCGGTATTTCTTTATCTATTTTGTCAACTTTTCTCCCTATTTCATATTTTCATATCTCAAAAGATAAATCAAGTCTCTCTTTTTAATTTTCTAGCTTTGAACCTCATGCATGAAGTAAAATATGATTATATTCTTACCTGAACCATTCCCAGATAAGCCATAAGATTTAGTAGGAATTGGCAGTTGACTCTGCAGTACTGGTGCAACATTGAAATGCTTCATTATCATTCCCAACAAACAACAACAACATCCAAGCCTTACTCCCAAAAGAGTTTGGGGTTGGCTAACATGAATCGACACATGAATCAGATCTAAAAAGATAAGAAAGATAAAAATATAAGGTAAGATAAAAAAATAAGATATAAAAATAAAAATAAATTAAAGATAAAATTGATAACATAAAAAGGATAAAAAATATAAGATAAAAAGGATAAAAAACACAAGAATGAAAAAAAATATAAAATGATAAAAAAGATGAAAAAGATCAATCATCCACACAAATATTCTCCCTTCACTTTTCCCTCTCCAAAGCCATACTTTCATCCAACCCAAGAAGAAGAATATCACTCTTGACTCCTAATCCATCTGTTTGGATCTCCCTCTCATTCCCGCCGCCCCTTCTCCCCACCTCTCAATTCGTCTTGCATCACTCGGTTTTCTACGCACATGATCAATTCACTATAATCGAGACTCTCACATCTTATCTTCAATAGATGTTAGTGTGTTGCTCGGTTGCTCCTACCTTTTGTCTATTGTTTCATTCCTCCTTGATTTTTTCTAGTATGTTTATACATCCAACGTAATATGCGCATCTCAATCATACTCATCTTTTAAATGTGGCATTGTTTCACCACCAAACACTATGTCATACAATAATGCAAGCCTAATTGTTCTCCGATAAAACATACTCTTCAGTATACTCGACGTACCTCGATGACATAGAAATTCTCATGCACGCTTCCATTTCATCCACCCTTCAGTATAGTCGGCGTACCTCGATCACATAGAAATTCTCACCCACTCTTCCATTTCATCCACCCTATTCTAATTCTATGTGATACATCTCCATCTAGTTTACCTAGTTCATTATCCTTTCCATGGTGTGAAATTCAATTTAGAGAATGTATTTGAAAATGTGTTGAGAGTCCTATCATTTTCAATGGAGCCAAAGACTCACTATTTTTGGCTTAGGATTATGATTGAACAAAGCAAAATGGCTCACTAAACTGTCTACGCTTCTTTGTTATGAATCAACGGTCAGTCCATGCAATTTTCAACGCGATTTCATCATGGGTCTTCCGGAAAGGATGCTTACATCAAACCACCTTACCCCACTTTTGGTGGGAGTCTTTGCAACACTGGGGTAATGTTGTATTTGAAATTGTGTCGAGAATCATGTATCAATATGTAGTCTCTATAAACAAACACTTTTTGGAAATCTTGCTGTATTGAGAAGGATTTTAGGTTGTAATTATGAGTTACCACCTCCGTCCCATTAGAAGGTTCCCGTCCACTATTCGCATGGTCAACTTAAATCCATGGTTTGCAATTGCGCAATGCAATTGCGCCTTATGGCGCGCATCTGCTATTTCAAAGTCTGTGGCGTAAAATTGCATTGCATATGGCGATTGGGTCTGTAGCGTAGATTTTTAACGCTATGGCGTACGCAATATAACGTAAGCCATGAGGCGTATGTAAGGCGTAGGTTAAATTCTTTAATGGGTAAAGTTATTTTTTGGCCCGCTGGGCCCACTTTTAACGGTTTATGTTATATGCGGCCTTCTCGTTTAGCCGCTTCTTCCCATTCCATTGTTACGCAATTAGCAGTTCCACCGCCTTCTTCCAGAGTTCCAGTTTGGTCGCAATCAGCAGTTTCTTTTCCTTCCACCGCCTTCTTCCACTTTGTTGGCAATCAAGTAATCAACAGATACGGTGAAAGTGTGAACCTCTTCTACCATTCCTCGAATCTGCAGTACTGCCTTATTTCTACGGTGAAAGTTAACATTATTTAATATTAATGTTAATTTTCTGCCTATTAATATTATATGATTTTTCTTCAGTTAAGTTTTCAACTTTCAACAGACCAGTATGTTCTTCAACTCTGTACTGCCTTTTTTATGCTTCTCTGTTTGATGCCTTTTGTTTCTATTCAATTAAACACTAATTAGTAATGTTAATTTTCTGACTATTAATATTTTATTATTATCCTTCGATTAACTGATTAAGTTTCAACTTTTGAATATTTTTTTCCAGTTATTATATTTAATGATAACTTCAACTGTGTACTGCCTTTTTTATGCTTCTCTGTTTGATGCCTTTTTGTTTCCATTCAATTAAACACTAGATAGGGATGATTCAATTTTTCAATCATCAATCTAATATGTTTAGGATTATTTTATGAAGTTTCAGAAATTTTTGCTGTTATTCAGGATTATTTTTCCTAAGATTGTTCCACCATTATGATTTGTTTTAATATTGCATTTTCCGGTTTCTCTTTGAATAATGTTTTTTGTTATATATATATATATATATATATTTACGCCTCAGCTATACGCCTCATTGCGCAATGAGGCTTACGCAATATGCAATTCTAAAAATCCGCCATGATTACGCAATACGCAATTTCGAACATTGCTTAAATCATTTTTAATCTTTTACTTTATAAATCAATTTTTTATCAAGTTTACATTTTTTTATCCGGCTTTGTAGCGGTTTTAATGTAGTTTCTGAATATGTTAATTTTATTTACTAAAAATAATCAGAGTGTGAACAGAGATTAAGTTGCTTTATCGTCAGTCAAGCATCGTAAACCGTTCACGGGAACTTCTACCGGGACGGAGGGAGTACTAGATTTGAACACCTATTTTGATTTAACAAATATCCACTTCCTTCTCTTTGGCTTATAGTGAAGGATCACCTATATTTGGGATGTTTTCCCTATTCCTACCTTCACCGTGTTAATCTCACTAAGCCAAATACTATACCTGAAATATACGTTCCTTTTCATACATCTCCTAAAACATTAGTTACTTTTTCAATAGTTCAAGGGGAGCCATATCAATGTCACCTTTCTCACATATCACCATCTTTTATAGGCATTACAAAAGTTTAGAGTATGTAATTGTTTATGTTGACAATATCGTCATCCTAGGTGATAATAAACTGATATAATATGTGCATATTTCAGACAAAGTATCACTTACGAAGTATTTCTTAATTTTACACTAAAGTTTAGTAAATACTTCTTGGGAGTTGGGAAATAGAAGTTATATTGCTTTTGTCCGTAAGTAAAGTGTTCTTCAAATGCCAATAGGTATAAAAGGTTGGTCAAGAACCTTTCTGCATTGTTTGGGAAGGCAGTCAAGAATCTGTGTTGATCATGCGGTTCATGCCTTTGTCTCTCAACTAGTCAAATATGATTTCGTTTTGTATTGTAGATCACCATCATCATTACCCCAGTGCCGCAAAGGCTCCCACCTATGGTGGGGTAGGGGGGGGGTCGGATGTACGCAGCCATACCCCCTGTACAATACATTTTGTATTGTAGATAATGGACCTATAAATGGTGAACACTTTCTGAATCTTTTTCTTTGGGAAATTTCCCTAAACAGGAGTAAAAACAATCTGATAATTTCAAAATAACAGTACTATTCCCCCCCCCCCCCCCCCATAAAGGAGTAAATTGTTTCCATCCTCAAATCATATTGCCGAAGTTTTGATATTTTTCAAGTATAACAGTAATTACTTTTATTTACTTATTTAGGAAAACAACATAGTACTCCTATTGTGGAATATTGCACTGTTTTTACTCCTATTTAGGGAACTTTTTGTTTTTCTTTCTGCTTTGTTTTCCAGGTTATCCCATGTCTTGCTCCATACAATATTGTACGGTATTTTTTACCACACTTATTTCCATCCTGTCATTGTGTGCTCACCTATAGTTGGAATTAATTAAGCAGACTGATCCCAACTGGAGCAATTTTCTTTATGATGAGTCAACAAATTCAATCAATCTCATAGACTTTGGAGCAGCTCGAGACTACCCTAAACATTTTGTTGATGACTATTTAAGAATGGTAAGATTGTCATTGCTTTAGTTGGATAGAAGCACTCCTCCTTGTTGTTAACTTGTTAACATATGTGGTTCATTTCATTCCCTTATACTCCCTCCTTCCCTAGTTAATAATTCTTAATTTGACTTTGCACAATTTAAATTTGACTTTTAAATGAAATTAGCATCAACCACACAATTTTGAGTCTACATTTACATACAAATTCGACTATACCTCTTATGAAATATAATCTCTATAAGAGAATTTTTAGAAGGAAATGAAATAGTTCAAATTTTATTTTGAGGGGAAAGAATTAACATCAACCACACAATTTTTTCCTTAAAAAGAACCATGAGGATTGCTTAGGGATGAACAGAATGAGGAAAATGTGAAGTTTAAAATAGGACAAGGGGAGTATTATAAAACATGCTATTAAAAGTGGAAAGTTGCAAATATTTGGCAATCATTGGGGGGGGGGGGGGGGGGGTTGGCGGCTTTTCATAGGTCTGTAATTTACTGGTACTAAATTAGAATGTTGATTTACCAAGATTTCAACATAATTATTCAGAAAAGTACATATTGAGACTCTTTCTTCAACCAACGTATATAGGTTCTTGCTTGTGCGAACAGTGACCGGGAAGCAGTGATTGAGATGTCAAAGAGACTTGGATTTCTCACAGGGGAAGAGTCAGATGTAATGATAGATGCACATGTGCAGGCAGGTTTTATTGTAGGGTTGCCATTTTCAAAGGAAGGAGGCTATGATTTCCGGTCTAACAATATAACACAAAGCATTTCGAATCTGGGGGCTACCATGTTGAGGCACAGGCTGACACCTCCACCAGAAGAAGCGTACAGTCTGCACCGAAAGTTATCCGGTGCTTTCCTTGCTTGTATCAAGCTTGGTTCTGTTGTGCCTTGTCGCGAAGTATTGTTTGATGTGTATGATAAGTATCAGGCTGGTGAAGATGGCGTCGTTTCGTCAAGGGCGTATTGAGGTTAGGTTTCCCAGTTTCCCTTACCTGGGCGCTCTTATTCATCATCCTTCCCAAAAAATAATTTTAATTTGATGACATCATAATATATTACTCATCATTCATCAAATTTGATTTGTGCAGTGTATCACGAATTGTGATTGATTGATTTTTATAGTGAAAAAACTTGTTATTTCTCTTTTAAATTTATTATTATTATTACTTCATACTACATCTTCTTTTGAAGGACTTCACGCGTGTCATTTTTGTCTCTTCATTCACTGTCATCATCATCATTACCCCAGTGCCGCAAAGGTTCCCACCTACGGTGGGGTCAAGGGACGGATGTACGCAATATTACCCCTGTACTAAAGCACAAAGAGACCGTTTCTGGATGACCCATAGTGAAAACTGTGTCAAAAATTGCATGGAACGATTGTTGTTTCATAAAAAAGAAGCGCAGACAGTTTAGTGAGCCATTTTGCTTTATTCCATCAGCCAAAAAATAGCGAGTCTTTGGCTCTGTTGCAAACTTGCAAATGATGGAGAATTGGAGATCTCTTCATTCACTATCCCCTGTCCGGATGATAATTGCTTAACTGGGTTGCTTTCACAAAAAGGGACTTAAGTAAACAATTAGAGGCTAGCACTACTAGAGGTGGACTCGGGCCGGGCCTAGGCCCGGTCGGGCCGCCGGTTTGTATCACATGGACCCGGGACCGGCCTGAGGGTTGGACGGGTTCGATTTGGGCCGGGTCACGGGTCGGGCCACCCGCCGGGCCGGGCCGATTAAAGTTTTTTTTTTTATAATTTATACTTTATAGTTTTATACAAGTATTAAAAACAAATTTCAAGTGCATTTATTTGAAATGAAATAGGAACTACATTTGAAATATGAACTACAAGTTTACAAGTTACAATTGAGAATTGAAGGTAAAATTAAAACATGAAATACTAATCAATCATTCAATCGGAATCTCTGACATAGGTAGAGCCACCCTCGGTTGTAGATTCATCCATAAAGTGTTGAAAAAATCTACCCATCAAAGAAGTAGAACCACACAATTCACGCAATCTAGGAATAACAACAATATTATTAGTAGCATTATCAAAACCAATAGCAAATGTCTTATCAATTAAATTATACTTAATTAAAATACGCTCAATCAAAATATAAATATGTTCAGCGGTGTGACGATCATTAAATTCACGGAAAACAAGAACACGTTTATGCATATGCCAATCATTATCAATATAATGTACAGTTAGACTCAAATAATGTAAATTATGATAAATATCCTCCCATATGTCACAGAACATACAGTAACACACCCATCAAAGTTTGCAAAATAATTTTGTAATCTTACCTTTTCCGCACCATAAAGCCTTGAAATTTCTTTCTTAACCGTTTTGCGACTATAACCTCTATATTGTGGATTTAAATAAGTTTGTGCATAATCACGAAAAGCAAGACTTTCAGAAAACAAATAAGGTAATTTTTCTTCAACAAGTTAGCCATACTAGTCAAATTTTGTGCATCATTGTATGAGAAATTACCAAAAGCTTGTTGGTTATTTGCAAACCTCGATATTTGAGTTTGCTTCCCCGTTCTGCCGCCTAGTTTTGCATACTCCACCGGATGTTTGGACTTAAGATGTCTTGTGGTGGATCCGTATCCGCCGGAAATCCCCAAGCTATAATTTTTCTTGCACCAATTGCAAGTTGCGGTCCAATTCCCGGTGTTTGGGTCCTTCCACTTAGAAAAATTATTAACCATTAGTTCAGATTTACAGATTAACTAGTGAAATAACTAGTTTTGTATACAACCTATTTTTTTTACTAACAATGAAATTAATACACTTTAACTTTAACTATAATGAGAATTACAACTAGTTTTTTGTACAACCTATTTTTTTACTAACAATCAAATTATTATAGTTTAAGTTTAACTTTTATGAGAATTAACTAGTTTTTTTTCAAGTAACGTTAATACAAAATTAAACAAGTGTAAATAATAGAATGATTTCGTACCTCTTTCGTACTTTCGGTCTTTCGGATGGGAGTAATAGAATGACTTCAAATTAATTAGATATAATTCCAACTATATTAATAGATATAATAAATGTATAAGTAATATATAATTAGATAACAAATATAAGTAATATAATATTATAATGTATGTATTTATAAATTATAAGTAGATAATTAATATAAAGTAGATATATAAATAATAAATATAATATATTGGAGAATAAGAGAATTAGAGAGTAGAGAGTTAAGAATAGGATTTAGGAAGAATTGGAGAAGAGATGAAAAAATGTTTAAGATTAGGAGTATTTATAGGTTTTTTTACCCCACCCCCACCCCCACTCCCAAACTCCCGGACCCCCCTGCACCCCACCCAACGGCTATATAGCCGTTTGGGTTGTCCCCAGCCCACCCCCCAACGGCTATTTTGGCCCAAAACATTTTTTTTAAAACTGACCGTTGGACCCGGACTCGGGCCCGACCTGGCCGAGCCGGGTCAACTATTTCCGGAACTGAGCCCGCCCCGCCCATCCCCACCGGTTTGGGTCTACACCCGGTCCCGGACCGCCACAGTAGCGGGCCGGGCCGGGTGGCCCGAACCGAATCCACCCCTAAGCACTACATTCTTTCCTTTCACTTTCCTCTTTTTTACTTGGGAATTTCTTAGAATGTAAATTTTGTGTTGTTGGGATGAATCTGTATAGATAAGGGAGGATTTCATAAACAAACGAAAAAGGAAAGCATTGAAGATAAGGGTGAAAGTGACCCCCACTCCATTAGAGATCATATGCGAAAGATTTTTCCTGGTTTTGGACTTTTGACCATACATATATACATACATACCAACTTTCCATCTACAACACAAGCTTGCAACCTTCCCTCATCCATTGTAGGAAAAGAGGAGAGATAGAGGAGAAGATACATACATTGTTATACACTTTTTTTTTACACACTCAAAATAACACTCATAAAATATTAAATGAAAATTCAATGGCATTGAGAAGTCTAAGATCAAAATTGTTTGAAACAATACGTGAACAAAAGTATAAAAGGCGGTACTAAATTAAATAGCAAATAATAATTCAATATCATGACTTTTCAATCTTCACGGGCTTAAGTTTCTTGTTGCTTGAGCCCTGTGTTGAGCCGTTGACATCACAAATGACTGCTTCTTCTGATTCTCGACATCGTCCACTTGATTTTGGAGTTCCTTTCCCATCAGTTTCAGTGTCTGAAATAACCACATTTGAGTCCATTGTCGGCACAGATTCAAAAAGCAATTCCAAATCTTCATCAAGATTTGTACGCCTCAGAACTCGTTCCCTCAGTACCTGCTAGGGGTGGGCACAAAAAACCGTAACCATTTAACCGTACCGAAAAACCGGAAAATCGGTGTCTTTTTCGGTTAACCGTACCTGAATTTTTAAAACTCACGGTACGGTTAACCAACCGGGAGGGAAAAATGGTTAGCGGTACGGTTACGGTTTTGGAAATTATCTCACCGGTTAACCAGTAACCATAGGATCATACACAAACACTACACACGGACAATAAATTTCAACAAAGGTATGGGGACGGGAAAGTGAACACTTTGTATCAGTTTTGGAATTCTGGTGTATGTATATTCACGTTCAGGCATGTATAGTGGAATAATATACACACTTTACAATCAATTACTCCGTACATAATCTACTGAAATGTATACATTTTCTTTAGTACTATACATATGATGGAGTATATGGCCCATGAACCCCCAGCCCATAGACTCCTACTATTCTAATGGAGGCCCAATAGGCCCAGGAAGCACAACATGCCCAAATCACGGCGCCCCAAGTACTAAGCAACCCACGTGGCACACTAGGGATGCCTTCGCCCCCCTGGCCGAAGGCTCCAATTCTCACAGGATGACCAAATCAAGAAAACAAAGTTACTGGGAGAAAACGGCGAAAATCAGTAGCCCTCGGCACCTAGAGCCCTCGGCACTAAGGAGGTCCCCGGTACTCAGAGCCCTCGGCTAATCATCTACAACCGAGGGCACCTTTTCCCACATAATATCCGCTCCACATGCGCAGGGATCACCGTACCAAGTACGACGTCCCATCCAACAGCCGCATTAAATGCGGCCACATGCGATTGCTAGCGCCAACCAGTTGAGGTGACCCCTCGGCCAATGGATGCTTCACACGTGTCCCTATCTGGCATTTATTGCTACTATAAATAGCACCCCATTTCCCCATTTGTAACCCAGAAGCAAATACGCTGAATACATTTCTAATATACTCTCTCTCTCTCTACTTACTTGCTCTGACTTCTCTCTAGTTATTCCCCGTAATAACCCTTCGGATAAGTTACCCCCCGGGTATACTATCCATCATTTGGTGCTCTCGTTGAGAGCTCGAATAATCAAGTAAGAAACCCTCCCCCTCGCCAAACACAAAACACCTAGCTAAGATGGTGAGAACAACTCATGCCAACTCCAAGAATGTTGAGGACAGGAACCTGGCCCTCGACGAAGTCGACGTCCTCGAAGCCTCTAACAGGGCTCCCGGGGGCGGCGTCGTCGCCGGGTTGGACCAGAAGGCTGTCGACCTACGCCATCAGATTCAACAGAATGCCCCCGATGCCCGCCTCGGCATCGAGGCCAAGAAAAAGGACCGGAGCGAGAACCAAGTTAGCCCTCCGGTAATCACAATCGACGTACAATCGGCATTTTCCGCCTTCATCCAGACGCTCACCCAGAATCCAGGTGCCTTCGGCACTTTGGTTCCCCTCCAACCTCAGGTCGGGGAGAATGTCATGCCTCCCCCCCATCCACACCCCCTCGGGAACCCATTCCTCCGAATTGGGAACGTCGAGGGGGTCGTGGCCCAAGATACGGCCTCCCAGGAAGTCCAGTCCCGAGACCGCCACAACGTGAACAAGGAACAACCCCGGACCTCCGCCCTCGAGAGACTCAGAGGGGCGCAAGACCGCCGAGGGATCCAGGACCGCCTCGGGGGGAAGGCGTTCCAGAGGCCTTAGGAAAGTGGCGGATCCGTCTCCAGGGCCAATGAAAGACGTCCCCCTCAGGACAAAGGCAAGGCACCTCTCCATGCCAACGACGCCCACCACCAAATCAACCAGGCCCACTCGGCCCGTGTCCATTCGCAGGGGGTGGAGGCCCTCCCGAAGGACCCCC